TTAGAATTTCTATATCTTCTTCATTTAACTTTAACAATTCATATGTATCTAGGAATTTGTCCATTTCTTCTGTGTTTTCCATTTTACTAGAGTACAGGTTCTTGAAGTAGGTATTGATGGTCCTCTGATTTCTGTTGGGTCTGTTGTGACTTCAACTTTTTTGTTCTTAATTGCATGAATTTGAGCCTTTGTTTTCCTTTTTGTGATAAGGTTGGCTAAAGGTTTATCAATTTTTATTCTTTTAAAAACCAATTCTCTGATTCATTGATTTTTTTGTATCATTCTCTTATTCTTCATTGCACTGATTTCTCCTCTGATCTTTATAATTTTCTCTCTTGTACGAGCTTTGAGTTTGTTATGCTCTTCTTTTTCTAGGAGCTTGAGGTTCTGCATTACATTATTTATCTTAGTTCTCTCTGTGTTCCTAATATGGGCATTCACTGCTATGAATTTCCCATGTAGAACTGCTTTCACTCTGTCCCATAGATTCCTGTATGTTGTACTGGCATTATCATTTAATTGTAGAAACTGTCTAATTTCTTCTTTAATTTCCTCTATGACCCATTGGTTGTTCAGGAGGGTATTATTCAGTTTCTATTTGTTTGTTTAGGTTTTGCAGTTTCTTATGTTATTGATCTCCAATTTTATTGCACTATGGTCTGATAATATACAGGGGGTAACTACAATTCTTTTACATTTACTTAAATATGTCCTATGAGCTAACATGTAGTCTATTTTGGAGAATAACCCGTGTGCAGCCAAAAAGAATGTGTATTCTGATTTTGTGGGATGGAATACTCTGTAAACATCTATTAAGTCCATTTGTTCAATAGCTTAGTTCAGTTCTAAAATTTTGTTGTTAATTTTTTGTCTAGATGATCTGTCTATTGGCAATAGTGGGTATTGAGGTCCCACACTACAATTATATTAGTGCGTATTTTGTTTTTTATGTCCATTAATATTTGTTTTGTATAGCTGGGGGCATTCATATTTGGTGCATATATATTTACAATTGTCATCTCTTCCTCTTGGATTGTTTCCTTCACAAGGATATAATGACCAT